GAGGAAATTAAATCTACGACACCATCAATTGTAAAACACACAACTATTATGTATACCTCTAAGAAAGAAAAAGTGCCACAAGTTAGCTATGGTACAATGCTTCTCTACCATCTATTTTAAGATACATTCCAATTTCAGAGATGTTAAAATGTGGAAACGATATTGTGTCCCAAAATTGATAAAATATAGGATCAAGAGGGCCTTTATCCTACCTTTCTTTTCCCAATTCTATTTAGTATGTTCTTTTTCCCCATATTATTTTTCAGAGTCAGCTCAAATCTCCCACCCTTTGTAGAGCCTGTCTAGATCACTGAAATAAGACATGTTTCAAATTTGAGCATGTTTCTTATGCCCCTCTCAATTTTGAATATTTCTCCTTAATAGAGAATGAAAAGCAAAATATGAGTTCAATAATTCTGCTTTCTCTGCATCATCTGTTAAAATGATACCATCTGCCCCAAGCAGTAGGTCTGAACCTTCTTTCTTGTACTTGCTCTACATGTGTTTTATAAATCCTTTTTATTGTTCTTAACATTTTCACCAGCCTCCGCTCATTCTGGGCTCTTACTTTACCTACATGATTCTCCTCATTTCACACCACTCTTGTATTCATCCTTGGTCATGTGCCTTTATTCCTTTCTATTTTTTTAAACAAGTATCTTAAAATTCTGAAGTTATCAAAGGACACCTTATACAACCATACTGGAATCTTTCGATGCCACTTTCTTTTCTTATCAGGTTAACTTGTTTTTATAGTGTCAGAATTTCACTTTTTAGAAACTGTAACTGTCTCTTTAAAAAAAAAAAATCTTATCACAATGGGATTTCTGCGATGGTATCATAAGCTTTTTTCTTTTACTTGATGAAATTCACTTCCCTAAAGAATCACTAATCCCAATATTCCTTTTTCTAACTATTATAAACTCCAAGATGGCATGGTTGCTTTCTCGTGGGTGTTATATCCACTTTACTATTTTATACTCATAAATAAGCATAAATGGAATTGAATTCCAAAGGAGTAATTCCTTTCATTATTTCTTCCACCTAATGAAAGTTAAGTGATTCATATATGGTAAATACTTCCTACCTTTTCTGTATAGTCTCACCATCAGATTGTGTCCTTAAGTCAGTCCTTAAGATTATAATTTAATTTGGTCTGTTTTTGAGCATGATATAAATGGAGTTAAACAATATATCTTTTGTGATTGGCTTGAGATTTAGCTATGTTGTTGCATGTAACAATAGTGCATCTATTTTTGCTGTATATTCATCATTGAATAGGTATACCACAGTATAACCATCTACTATTGATGGACATTTGAGTTGTTTTCAGTTTCTATTACAAATGCTGTTAACATTCTTGTATATTTTTACTGGTACACATTTGCATACATTTCTGTTGAGTATATTCCTAGGATAAAGAATTGCTTGTTCATTGGGCATACTTATTTTCACCTTTAGTAAGTAATGCCAAACTATGAGGATTCTAAAAAAGTTCATGGAAGATTTGTATTATCTTTTAATTCTGTTTTTCCATGAACTTTTTGAAGTGCCCTCATATTTCCAAAATAGTTTTACTAATTTTACAGTCCTTCCAGCAGTGAATGCAAGTTCCTGTGGGCACCACAACCTTACCAATACCAATATTTAGTATTGTCAGACTCTCATTGTAGCTGTTCTCGTGTGTAATTAATTATAGTTTCAATTTATATTTACCTGATTATTAATGAGATTGAGTAACTTGTTTATGGGAAGTGCCCGTTGGACTTCTTGCCTACATTTCTTTTTTTAATTTTAATTTAATTTTTTTTAATTTTATCATTATTGCCTACATGTCTTTTTAATATTGATCTGTAAGAGTTCATTGTATATTCTGCCTGTGTCATTAACACTTATGCGAGGGCACTTAAAAAAGTTCATGGAAAGATTTGTATCATTTCAGTTCTCTTTTTCCATGAACTTTTTGAAGTACCTTTGTTTGTGTTGTAATTATCGTCTGCCACTCAGTGGTTTAACTTTTCACTGTCTCAGTGGTGGCTCTAGATGACTAGAAGTTCATTTAATTTAATATAGACAAGGTTATCAATCTTTTATGGTTGGTGATTTTTTTTGCCATGTTTAAGAAATCTTTTTTACCCAAAGTTATGAAAATATTCTCCTATTTAAAAGTGTTACTGTTTTGCCTTTCACATTTAAGTCTACAGTTCATCTGATTGATTATTATGTATGGTGTGAGGTTGTGTATCCAGTTTTTGGGGGTTTTTTTCCCCATATGGATACCCAATCAGCATAATGTTTTGGAAATGACATTCTTTCCCAGCATTGCTGTGAAGTGCCACCTTGTCATAAATCAAGTGCGTAAATGTTTGGGTTGTTTCTGGGCTATCTGTTTTGTTGTATATTTTGTCTCTTCTTGCACCAGTATCACACTGTCTTAGTTACTGTGGCTTTGTAATCAATCATGATATCTCATAGAGGAAGTTCTCCTATCTTCTTCAAAAAGTGGTTTGACTAGTCTCTGCCCTGTGCATTTTTATATACACTTTAGTGATGTCTTTGCAATATTAAGTCTATTTTTTACTTTAATTTTACTGGAGTAAAATGAAAACTTTAGATTGTATTAAGGTACCGTAAATAGGTATTATGATCATATTTTAGAGGAGAGATTGCTGAGCTTGTAGGAATACCTGGGTTTTAACCCCAGTTTTGCCACTCAATAACTAAGAAAATCCTGAACAAGTTTTTTTTGTTGTTGTTTTGCTTTCTCTGTATGTAGTAATGTGGAATGTAATAATGTAACACCTCAGGGTAGGCACTTGAGAAATTAATTTTAAAAATTAATATTTTTTGTTTTGTCTACTATTTAGGACTTTCACTAATATTTGTGAAAGCACATTAGGGGAAAATAATTTAAATATATAAATAGAGATCTATAATTTTTTTAAATCATCATACTTAGATGATGATGGAGTTTGTATGTGTTGTCCCCTCTAAAACTTATGGAAATTTGATCTCCAATGTGGCAGTGTTGGAAACTGATTGAGTCATGGGGACAAATCCCTCATGAATGGATTAATGCTCTCCCTGGAGAAGGAGGGATTAATGAATGAGTTCTCGCTCTGTTAGTTCCCACGAGAGCTGATTGTTTAAAGGACCATGTCATCTCCCCTCTCTGTCTCTTGTTTCCTCTTGCCATGTGATCTGCTTGTACCCGCTGGCTGCCTTCCACGTTCCACCATGAGTAGAAGCAGTCTGAGGCCCGTGCCAGATGCAGCTGTCCCAGAAGCCAAATAAACCTCTTTTCCTTATAAATTACCCAGTTTCAGGTATTCTGTTATAGCAACACAAAACGGACTAAAACAGGTGATTCTTGCAAATTAGTTCTGGTTAATCTTCAAGGAATAGTTGGTTTCTTTGTTTTTCAAAGTATAGACCATTGAAAAAGATGGAAAGCTCCCCAGTTTATTTTATGAAGCTAGCACAACCTGTTAAAGTAAATTTAAACCTAGTAATAATGGGATAGACGTGTACACTGTGCATGCACACTGTTTTAGTCCATTTTGTGTTGCTATAACAGAAATACCTGAGACTGGATAATTTATAAGGAAAAGAGGTTTATTTGGCTTACGATTCTGGGACAGCTGCATCTGGCACAGGCCTCAGGCTGCTTCTACTCATGGTGGAAAGTGGAAGGCAGCCAGCGGGTACAAGCAGATCACATGGCGAGAGGAAGCAAGAGAGAGAGAGAAGGTGCCAGGGTCTTTTTAAGCAACGAGCTCTCTAGGGAACTAACAGAGCAAGAACTCATTCATTAATTCCCCCTCCCCCAGGGAGAGCATTAATCCATTCATGAGGGATCCACCCCCATGACTGAATCAGTTTCCAACACTGCCACATTGGAGATCAGATTTCCACGTGAGTTTTGGAGGGAACAACACATCCAAACTCCATCACACACAGATAGACATACAGATACATACACACACTAAAATTCCAAGTAAAATACTAGCAAATTTAATCTAGCAGTGTATTATAAGATTATACGTATTGCCCAGGAAGGGTATATCCCAGGAATATAAACTCTACAACATGAAATCTGCACATAATTCATTATATCAACACATTAGAGGAAAAATTATGATTAGGTCAATAATTTTTTTTAAAAAAAGAGGGAAAAGTCATTTGATAAAAATCCAACAACTTCATTCATAGGGAAGTAAAGAGTAAAACAGTAGTGCGATAACATGTAGTACTGGCAGTATGTGGGGAAATGGACACTCATACTTTGGTGGTAGTCTTAATTGTTATAGCCTTTGGGAACAAGCTGATAATAGCTATTGAAATAAAAATGTACATTATCATTTGAATATTCCTACTTCTGGGAATCATTCCCACAAAAAATAGTGTATTCATATATACTATAAAGCTAATATATACTATTATGGTATATTAGGATTTATATGCAAAGCTATTGGTTTTATAGTTTGTGATAACTAAAAACTGGAAACAACATGAATGACTGTTGATCACTGGAGGAACCATTGCATAAATTATACTAAGCAGTACTATGGCATATGGTATAGCCATTGACCAGGAGGAATGTCTGTGACGATATTGTTGAATCAGAGTGTGGGGCAACAAATTATGGATTATTGTGCATAATGTAATCCATTTTTTGTAGAAAGAGAGAAAGCCTATATATTTTAAATGTATGCATGAGTCGTGAGAAATGTGTGGAAGGCCTGAGTTAAGAGAGGGGGTAGGATTGGTAAAGTGGGAAAATTATATTTTTTTGATATGTTTCTATAGTGTTTATTATGAAGAACATTTGTTGAATTTATAATAATCATATTTAATAAAGGAAAAAATGCTAAATAAATTCAAAGTATGAAGATGTGGGTTGTAAAGATGCTTGATTTGGCCAGCCAGAAATTACTTCTGGAAAGAAACATATTTTATACTAAGACACAGCGGCATTAATGATTTCTTTTCTTTTATAGCAACTCCGCTCCAATATCCGAGAAATGGAAAAGCTTTGTTTGAAAGTCCGAAGGGATGACCTGGTACTTCTGAAGAGAATGATAGATCCTGTTAAAGAAGAAGCATCAGCAGCAACAGCAGAATTTCTCCAACTCCATTTGGAATCTGTAGAAGTACTTAAGAAACAATTTAATGATGAAGAAACTTTATTACAGCCTTTAACCAGATCCATGACTGTTGGTGGTAATGTATTGTACTAAATCTTACTCTTCAGCACAGTAATGCAGTTAATTATAGCTCACCTCCTTGTGTAGATATTGCAGATTATCTATAGGTTTCCTGGGATTACCTGCTATTCCAATAAACTTAATCCTTGGACGCTAAGTGTACCTGGAAATGTGTACCCTGGGAATTTTGCAGGATAAAATTTTTGAGGCTATGATGTATGGATTGGAACTTCAGGTCTTTGAGTACCTGTTTGTCTATATATTGAAAATAAATTTTAAAATATTTCCTAATAATAATATCATCCTTGTCTGCAGAATACTCACTCCTTTCCAGGTGCAGGGCTGACCTATTCAGGCATGTTTTGTTTTTTTTTTTCTTAGGCATTCCAGTTTTCACAGCTCATGTGAGATCTGTGTCCCAGCTCAGTTCTTTGAATTTAACTGACAACATAAAAAAAAATCTGCAGTGGGGATCATGCCATCAACTTTTGTGAAGTGATAACTGTAAAAAGCAGCACTATGAAACTTGACATTATATTTGTTCTAAAGAGGTAGTGATAATTGTTGATCACATTATAATAATGTCTTTAACCCTGAAAAAATTCTTGGCTTGATACATAATAGTACTTCAAAGTAGTTGGTCTTTTTTTTATCTTAAGGGTATTGAATGGAATAACTGATAAAGTTTCCCTACTTGAATTGTCTACTAGAAAGCTTAAAGCCAAATTTTTTAACCACCCAAAATCAAAATTTTAAACTATTCTGGCTTTATTTTATACTTGCTGCCCTTGTTTTCCGTTTTCATTTTAGCGTTTCTCTTTTATTTTCAACTTTTCCTATATCGTTACATTTTATGTACCTTTCTAAATTGTCTTTAATCCTTATGGGAAAGGTGGAGTATACGTAAATTACAAATTAGAATAGAATCTTAGGGATGCTATACCTGCCCAGTTTTTTTCTTTTTATTCACCCAGGGCCCTCTTGCACCACTCCCTAGCTCCAAAGCCAGATTATTTTAATTTTATATTTTCAGTGCTGATGATTCAGTAATTTACAGGGAAATCAAAAAAATATTGGAAGAAACATTTAAGCCATCATTCAGAGTTTCTTGCTCTGGATCCATTCAGGGTAATCTTGCTTTTGTTGTATTCTTAGTACCTAGCACAATACTTGGCATATAGAGGACCATCCATAAATATTTTATAAATATAAATTTAAAAATATCTTTTTTTTTTTTTTTTTGTCTTTTTCTGTGTCCGGCAATGGATCGCAACCCTCAGTGTCGCCCCCGTACCGGACCGGGACCGGCAACGGGATCGCAACCCTCGGTGTTGCTCCTGCGCCTCGCTCAGCCAGTGAGCGGGAACCGGTCTGTATGTGGGATCCGAACCCTCGGCAGGAGCGCCGCCGCGCTTCCCAAGCGGTGCGCTATCGCAGTGCGCCACCGGGCCGGCCCTAAAAATATCTTTTTGAAGACAATTTTATAATTTCAGATGTGCTGCAGTCATTTCACTCTTGGATAACCTGTGCCTAAAATATTTTGGAGAGAAAAAAATGTTACTACTCAACCCTTGGTTGAAGAGTATTTGAGAAGAATGCTTTTTGATAGTTTATAATTGCTATTCCCGGTATTCTATTCATTTGTAGTTATCACCACCATATTGATGAAGGCTGTTCTTATCATTTAGTGCAATCGGATGCTTTGTGTGCATGTGTAGAGAAATTGGGCTTTATAGTTCCATGTGATTAAGGTGCTGTCTTATGTACGCAGACATTCTGACAGTTTTGATAGCTGTAGTAGTAGTGAAAATAAGCTGGATTTTCTGGAAAGAGTAACTGGCATCATTCTCTTTGGCTATTTGCTTTGAATTGCCCATCACCAGCATTTCCCTATTAAACAAAAATTTTGAGTTCTGTCTGAGAGTTTTCTAACAATATGATAATATTCTAATACTTGCTTTAATTTGCATTTTATTATCACATTCTTTGTGTTTTTGCTAGTAGAACTATTTGGGCTCAACAAACTTGGTTTTATTTATCATCAGAGGAATTGGGTGATTATTAGAAGCAGGTTACTCCGTTTGCTGGCAATTAACTTTCTCCATAAGAAGCTGACTGGTCTTTAAAAAAAAAAGGGTGGCAGAATTTGAGGAAGCATGTATATAGAGGAAATGAAAAAGACTAGAATGAGCCAGAGGATGAGGGAGAAGAAATAGAAGATGAAATTCATTTTCCAATTCTGTTGATTCTCAACCTTCTCTATTCATGAACACCAGATAGGGTAAAGGCCTAATGACTTGCCACTGGGAGAAAACTGCAAAATTAAATGTCTGAAACTAGTGATGATTTAAGACAGTCATTCTATTTGTAAAATCATATACCTAAATTATACCTAAAATAATGTGTAGAATTTCAAATTCTGAATAGTCTGCTTGTCAGATTGTGCTCTATGAATCCATTGCCAACATAGAGTAGTTAAAATTACTCTCTCACCAAGTGTGAGAGTTTCTACTAGATTGCCTTAAATGTAGAAATATTATTAACAAATAATAAAGAGGTTGGGGGAGGAGAAGAATAATGAAATGAAAGCAAGTAACTAATTTACCTAAGACTTTAATAGTGGGGTAGGAATTGGGTTTGCTCCATATGTGGTCTTCTTCTAGCTGTAGACTCTTTTCTGTCATTCTACACGTTTTTATCCTGTGTTCTCCGGTTTTTCCTTATTTTTGCTTTAGATACTTATCGTAGAGAGAGCCTATACAAAAAGTGTGTTTTATTTGTGTAGAAGTTAAGTGACTTAAAATACTTTTTCCTTTACAAATTCAATCTGATTCTAAATAAATTGGCTGGAAACATCAGCAGAGATTCAAGAGTAATGTTGCCACATTTTTATGAGTGAGATAAAAAAATACAAAAATGTTTTTCATTTACGGATAGAAATAACAAGTAGAATTGGACATCTTTTGTTCTCTGGAGAATGAAAGAAGCTTATTAAGTTAGGTGGAAGCTGTGATGATTTTGCTGTTTCTTTTGTCCAGATTCTGAGAGCTCCTAAAGCACATCTTCTCTACCAATCTTGCTTGATCTGAGAAATTCCCTTCTGTCTCACTTGTGTGTCTAGTTTCATTTTTAGCATATTGCTTCCCACCAAGAGAAGTGATGAGCCTACAAATCTGATTTGTATTTAGAAAGGTGATTCAAGTCCTACAAAATGAATCAGTGTTTCTCTCCATCTTTGTCTTTCTTATTCCCAGGACATACACTTCAGTAGTGCAATAGGAACAGAATCTTATTACATTTTAAACAAATATTCACAAAAGAAAAGAATTGAATCTTAAAACTGCTGGGAACTTCAGACTAGCATATTGAATTTGAGGAAATATTAGATTTTTATTGCACTTATATACATGTAGCGAACAATTTTGTGAAATGTGTAGATGGCTTTGTATTACATTATTCAGAAGATACATTTTCTATTGGTTTTAATTCTCTTAAAAGTCTTCCTTTGCAGCTAAGTTAAGCCCTGACTCAGAAGTCATTTTATTTTGATAGATAGATTTATGTAAATGATCAGTAAATTAATTTCACTATTTTTTAAGCTATCAGAATTTGAAAAAAAATTCAGGAATGCTTTTGAATTAATTTAGATTTATAATGAAAAATTTTTTAATGTAGTGAAGTTTAGTGGAAATTTCTTATATATTAGTTTGTAATTCTTGGTAGAATCATTGCTGTTCATGAAGTATGGGGAAGGAAAGAGAGAGAATATTTGAATGTATATAGAAGAAAAGGGAAAAGTCTTATTTCCATGTTACTTAGCTTATTTCTCACTTCAACTAAAGTGAATCAACTATCTTAATGTTTATTTAAGTCTATAGCCAATAATAAGGCTTTAAAACCCATTCTGGAATTTGAAAAACAGTGTTGAGTGATATACATTCTACTTGCCCTTTACACTTACAGTTATTTGCATGTGAGTGGAACTGAGTTTATTATGTCATATGAAACAATTGCAACTTTTTACTTCTGTGGACAGCTAAAGTTCTTCAGCCTTTTTTCCTGAAGCTATAATCTTTTTCAGTGTTTTGCTTCATCATGTCCATAGCAGTTAGTAAAAGTTCAAAGTCAAAGGATGATCACTGAGGTACTGATTTTTAATACAAGCTGGAATAAATGAAGCATGGAAGTTGTAGAAATTAAAGGATTTGCTTTCTTAATTGATCGTCATGCCTTGAATTGATTAGTGATGTTCAGAGTTGTAAGTTTACAGCAGGGTTTTCCGTGGAAGAGAATAGACTTCTTTGTTCTAAGATTCTATTTGAACTAAGATGCATACGTAGTTTGGTTTAAAGTGAGACATAAATGACTTAAACCTTCTTTATTTTTTACTGAGGGGAATCTTTTATGTTTGTTTAAAATGTCAGATGTTTCCCATCCCTTATTTCTTATATGAAGAATTATATATGATCATCTCTCCTCATTTTGTTTTATTCCCTGGTATAGTTCATTTGAATCCTCTTTAATTGTACATAGGTTACGGCTTTAAAAATCTTTAGAGTGGGTATGGTTATAAAGTTCTGTTTTACATTTGGTCTGTCAGTGATAGTGATGTTATCATTATTCATCATAATATTAAAGAAGTTGAAGTACATAGGAATATTAAGTGGAAGAAAGGTCATAGAGGAATTCATTTATCTTGGTTGAAGTGAAAACGAAAGTGTCTTTCTGGTGATAATCTAGGGTATAGAGTAAACAACTATTTTAAGCATTTGAAAAAACTCATAGAGAGCTTTTAAAATATTGGATATTTGCCATAATGTTATAATGTAAAACTTACTCTATACCTGATGTTTTTGCTCTTCTTCTAAGATTCAAAATTAGAAGAACTCTGTCAATTCTGGTAAACCTACAAATTAGTTTTTAGTCAACCTGACTGTGTCCTTCCTAAACAATTCAAAGGTTTTCCTTGAGAAGTAATGCATTCACAAACGTTGAGGGTAAAAATAAAGTTTTATAAAACACTGTTCAATTATAGGCTTAGTTGAAAAAAGGAATTGAGAAAGAATATGAACTTAGAGTTATAAATATTAAGTTCATAGTCTTAATTGGCATCATATGTTACCATGTCATTTTCCTGCTTATAACCCTTTAGCAGCTCTCCATTGTCTACCACATAAAGTTCAAAGTCTTTAACTGGTCTGTAAGTTCCCTCTATAACCATCCAAAATGTCTTATACTTGTAACTCTATGTCTTTTACTTCATGGTCTGGTAATACCCAAATTGCTGATTTTATGTTAGCTGTATTGTTTCCTCCTTGAGGGCCTTTGTATCCAAAATGTCTTATACTTGTAACTCTATGTCTATTACTTCATGGCCTGGTAATACCCAAATTGCTGATTTTATGTTAGCTGTATTGTTTCCTCCTTGAGGGCCTTTGTTTATGCTTGTTTTTCTACCTAAAATGTACATTCCTTTCTTCTTTTCCTAGAAACATTAAGTTTTCTAGGAAGCCTTCCTATAAACTGCATACATAAAGCTGGATCAAACGCCATCCCCAGCTTGCAACTCCTACAGAATACTATCTGTATTTATATCTATTTATCTAGATAGATAGAAATTAATGTACTCTTCTAATGTTTTATGATTGTCACTTTGTATGTCTGACTCTTCTAGAATATAAGTTCCTTGAGAGCAGGTACTCTGCATTATTCATTTTTTTTATCCCTGATGCCTAACACAGTACACAGTGGGTGCTCACAGAATGTTAAAGTGGTAGTCGTTTTGAGCTTGAGGTGAAGGAGAAAAAGTAGACCTTCAGATTTCTTCTTTCCATTTACACAGCCAGTTTCCTAGAGCAGATCATCATCTTCTCACTGGACATATTGGAAAGCTTCCCACCTGGTTTTTCACTAATTTTCTCACCTTCAACTCCATGCTTAGTGTGTTCTTCATACTATAGCTGTAGTTTCCTTTGTGAATCTAAAATCCGATTATGGCAGCTTCCACCTTCCCAATAGTCTCCCAACTCCTTTTAATAGCTCCATATCGATCTTATGAAAAAGACAAAAACTCTTTAATGTAGTAATAATTATCTCAGCATAATAATCTCAGCTTAGATTTCCAGCCTTAACCTTTGCTTCTCTCCTTATCACAGTCTATGCATCAGGTGTACTAAACATCTTTCATTTCTCAAGCCTATGCACATATTATTCTCTCTGACTTAAATACTCTGCTTCTCCCTCCACTCCTGCTCAAGTTTATCTGTATAATTTCTGTTCATCCTCAGGCTTCAGTTTCAGAACCTTCTCTGACCACTCTCCCCTCTGCAAGTCTAGGTTAAACATCTTTCTTTTGTGCTCACATAGCATTCCATACTTAGCCGAATCATAGTTCTTATCAGGCTATACTGACGGAACTTCACTATTAACATGTCAGTATCATACATTTTATGGTAAACTTTGTTAATAATAGCAACAGTAGCAGTAACTATTTATTCAGCACTTGTACATTATATATAAAGCCAGGTGCTGTGCCAAGTAAATATCACCTTATTTTACAAGTCAGAAAAGTAAGCCAAAGAGATGAAATAACTTCGCAACTCAAAGAGCTAATAAATAGCCAAACTTAGATTCTAACCCAGGTCTTTCTGACTAACCCATGCTCCAAACCACACTGTGTTGCCTCCTTGGAACTGTTTTTATGGTTTACCATTGTGTTCCCAGCACCTTAGCATGCTGATTGGCATATAGTAGGCATTTAATAAATGTCAGTTGAATGAATGAATGATTGGTAAAATCCATATGAGGAGATTAGAAAGACTTGAAGGTGGATTTTCAAATATAAATTAATTCATCATCATAGTAGTGTTTAATGAGAAAAGGCCTAGTGGGTTGAAGATTTTTAAAATTCAGAAAAGTGGAAGAAGCAATGGAAGAAGAATCACAAGAACGACTGGTTTTCATTGATAAAAACACGTTACTTCCCTAGTTCTAACACCTTGTGCATCTGACATTTATTACTAAAATAGCCAAATAAAAGGTTAATGATTTAACAGTGAAAAGTGTTAAAACCTATTTTTAGGGGGTGTCTCCTTATGGAACATTGGCCAGATAAAATAGTTTTCCTTTGCTGCTTCTTCCACATCTAGCCTTACTTATTCAGATTGGATAGATAGTACTTGTAGCCACTTTTTAGATGACTTGGTAGATAAAGAAAAAATATGTGTTAACTAACCTGGGGAACAATTTGTCCATGGATAAATAACTCTATTTTTATAGAATAATCAATTTACTTTTAGCTTAAATTTAATGAGTAAACACTTTACATGGCAGTTGTTTTATGGAGTTGATTCATGCTGTCTTCTTTCTAACAAAGCAAATAAACTAAACATGGGACTATGTTCATTCAGGAACATTTCACACTACTGAAGCTGAAGCTAGTTCTCAGGGTCTGACACAGATATATGCATTGCCTGATATTCCTCGAGATCAAAATGCTGCAGAATCATGGGAAACCTTAGAAGCGGTATGTTAAAAAAAATATATATATATATATATATATATTTTGGTAGCTGTGAGGCAATAAAAGTAACTTTCTCTTTCTCTCATTTTAAGGACTTAATTGAACTTAGCCAACTGGTCACTGATTTCTCTGTCCTGGTGAATGTAAGTATGTAACTTGCTTTGGCTCAGAATTAGATTATTAGAATGGGAGGGGTTTTTTTAATCAATTACTAGGCTTTTGATTAGAATTTTGGTAGATATTATAATTTTTAAGACTAGTGTTGTGCTTTGGCTCAGAATTAGATTATTAGAATGGGAGGGTTTTTTTTTATCAATTACTAGGCTTTTGATTAGAATTTTGGTAGATATTATAATTTTTAAGACTAGTGTTGAGCCATGGATAGAAGTCCAACTGTCCTCAAATTCCAGATCAATTCAATAAATATTAATTAAGCACTCGTTATATAAAAGGCACTGTGTTAGATGCTTGGCGTTGGAGATCTGACAAGATCAGATATAGAAATAAATGAAGCCCACTCTCTGCCTTCAGGGATTCTACTGTGGGTGGAGATAGGCTTGGACCCCAAAACTGAACTTTCACGCATGATGGCTAAATGCAAAAACAATGTATGAAGGTATTAGCAGCTCCAAAGAGAAGCATTTCATTCCAAGGGAGAGAGGCAGAGGTGTGAGGTGGAAGCATTACATTAAGGATCACTTCACATAGGTAGGTAGCATTTGCATGAGCCTTGAAAAATGAGTAAATGTCCACAGATGGTATTGACAAGGGTGCATTTTGGAACAGCTGAACAAAGGCATGGAATAGAGAACTGTATGGCCTGTTCAAGAATGACAAGTACTGCAGTATAACCAAAAAATAAGGTCACATGGATAAGCAAGGAGGGTGAGGGCCAGATTATGATGGCATTGAAGGCCATACTGAAGAATGTGAACTTCAGTTTGTAAGGATTAAGAAGCCAATATAGATTTTTGAGCAGGTTAGAGTCATGTAATCCAGTCTCTACTTCAGAAAGATGTCTGTGTGGGTAATGGCCTAAGAGAGGAGGAGGTCATGAGCAGGATAACTAGTTAGGAACCCATTGCAAGAGTTTAACCTGGAGCAGTGGCAGTAGCAGTGTAAAGGTAAAGGACAGCCGGGAGGCAATTCTGGGGTAGACAGAGCAGCAGTTGGAGGAAGATGGAGTCAAAGATAAGAAACATTAAGGCTTTATTCTGCATATGTGGGTACCAGTGATAATGTTAGCATAGATTAGGGAGCACAAAGTAATTTTGGTGGCAAAGATAGAATAGATTTTCTATCATTATTTTTCTAAACTGTCCTTATTTTTCCTTCCCAGGAATTATGGGATGGTAGGGATGTATGAGTCTATGTGTGTATATGTACTCAAACGTATGTCTGTACAGGTGCAACCCTGTTTCTGCCTATGCTTCTTTCTAGGTTTAGTTCTTTGTTCTTAACCAAACCATGATTTGGGGGTAGTACATCTTTGAATTATGACTTCCCTGAAATCTGACTTTAAATTCCTAGATCACACAGTCTCAGAATTAGAATGGGAAAGGATTTCAGAGCCCAACTAATCTAATCCCTCTACTCTTGCTCTGACTTCTCAAATAAATGATCTTTTAGCCTGCTTTTGAACAATTATAGTGCAAGGATACTTGATATTTCCACCATTCCATTTGGAAGTTCTAACTCTTAGAAGTCCTTCCTTATGTAAACTCTGCCCTAATAATAACTTTTCTTTGGTAATTTTGCCCTCTAGAGCCACATACTGAACAAGTTTTGTCTTTTTTCCATATAAAAGTTTTTCAAGGTTTTGCGACCAATATCATCCTTCCCCACCCTACCCCACCCCATCATATTTTCTTTTCTTAAGAACCTTGATTCTTTTGTGTTCCTTCTGCAATATGATTTCTAGGCATTTCAGTACTAGTCTCTTACTCTGCTTATTTTCTACCTCGTGGATATTTTCTTGAAATGTAATGTGTAAAACTGAATGCAATAAATTGTTTGAGTTGTTTCTGATGCCTCTAAGTCAGAAACAGCAAAATGTTTGAAGTCTTTGGATTAGGAATCTGTATAATCTATTAATGTATTTGCATATGGAAGGGAAAGACACAAGAATCCCAAAATATCTGTTGTTTTTAGAATCAAGATTTATTTAATTATTGTAACTAATAATCTCCGAATCTAATGCAGTTTGTAAAATCTATACATGTGTGGTTACACAAATATATACATTTGCCAAAAGTCATAGATCTGTACACTTAAAATGTGTGTATTATGGATTGAATTATGTTGCCCAAAAGTTTAATGCATTGGAGGCTTGGTCCCCACTGTGACAGTGTTAAGAGGATGGGAAATCCTATTGTGGTAGTTGAAAGGTGGGGCCTTGAAGAGGTGATTGGATTGTGAGGACTGCACCCTGTGAATGGATTGATCCAATCTTGGAATAAGGGGAGTGGTTCTGGTGGCTTTAAAAAGAGAGTGAATGAGGAGGTTAGTTTCTCTCTGCTTCACCGTTCTTGCCTTGTGCCACCCTGCATTGCTGTAGGGTCACTTCGCCAGATGTGTTCCCTGGACTTTGGACTTCCCAGCCTCATAAACTGTAAGCAATAAATTTCATTTTCTTACAAATTACCCAATTCCAGATATTTTGTTATAAGCAACAGAAATGGACTAATACACTTTGTTTTAATGTATGTAAATTATACATCAATAAAAGTTGATTCTAAAAACAAACTAAACATGTACAAAGTTCTTCTCAACTCAAGACAAATACATTTCTCTTCCAGTGGGATAGTCACATGAAAGGAAAATTAAGTGTTTGTGACCATTTAACAGTTATAAATTCGATTAGGTTATGTAAGCAGCTCTTAACCCCTAATCTAAGGAAGATTTGTGCAGGAAGACTGGCTATCACTACAACTCTATACAAATGTCCTATTTATAATAATCTGTGTAAGGACATGAGACAGAATGCTATTAGGCAAAAACTCAAAGGAGAACCCCTGATTATTATTTCCAGAGTGACTGAGTTCTCATGACCACATGGCCAAGGACTCACAGAAGCTCCATTTAGGCACAGAATGACCTGGGAACATAACGAGAGTGACCACATCCTCTCATTATCATCACATGGACATGATACTACTATGTAGGCAAATTAACCATATATTTAGGGAATGTTTTCTTTTTCTTTTTCTTTTTTGGTGGCTGGCTGGTACAGGGATCGAACCTTGGACCTTGGTGTTATCAGCACCACACACTAATCAACTGAGTTAACTGGCCAGCATTTAAAGAGCATTTTCTAGGTGTATAGTGCTGTGCTTAGCTCAATGAAGAATAGAAAATAGTATAAAAAAGAACCTACAAGATAGTGGTTATGGTTGTACAACATTGTGAATGTACTTAATGTCACTTAATTGTATTCTTAAAAATGGTTAAAATAGTAAATTTATGTTATATGTATTTTACCGCAATAAAAAGAACTTCCAAACCATTGAGAGATCAAGGTATGATTCAGTAAATGTTAATAAATTAATATCTACTAGGCACCCCGCTCCATTTTTCTTCAATCTTTATTGCTCAAGTGCCCTCTTTGCAACTAACGCTATTTCTAGTCAAGGGGAATGTAAAGAACCTGGGCCAGTAGTTCAAGAGTATATCACACTTGTTGCTGATCCTGTTGGACTTCTACCTTTTGCCTTATTTCCTATGGCCAGCCTTATTTCCTTATTTCCTATTGGATTATTTCCTATAATTCCATTTCACTCTGGATGCATAAAAACTTGGTTACAATGGATTAGAGCAGATTCTTCCACTTATTACCTATGTGACCTTCAGGATGTTATTTAACAACAATGACCTTTATAAAATTGACGGAAGGTCTAAATGAGATAATATCTATTACTTCCCATCCTCTTCCCTTTTGCTGACTCCGACTACATTCCTCCTTTTGTCCTTTCCTTATTTGATTCCCTCTTTGGCTCTTTGTCTAAAATTCTGCTTTTGCTGCCACTATTACTTTTAGGCGTTTTAGTACTGGAGTTCCTTCAGTTCCTTTCCTACTGCTGAATCCCCTGATGTCAACATCCTACTTATCTACTCTGCTTACTGCCTACTATAGGCAAACATAATCTTACACTCTGCCTGTACATTATAGTGTTGTGTGTTTGTTTCTGGGCTTTTCTGTGTATATGAGCATACTTCAAAAAGTTCACAGGAAGATTCATATTACCTTTTAATTCTATTTCTCCAAGAACTTTTTGAAGTACTCGCATATGATTGCATAGTATTAAGGAGTACATATTACATACCATAGGAGTATAGAATCAGAATAGCTCAATGTTAAGTGGACCGGTCAGTATCTGAGACCAGAGGTTGGTCTTGGAGCCTGGATGAAATTTAGAGGGGAATAAAGGAAAATACCTGGAGTTTTGGCATTATCTTCTTTAAGAAACTCATGTCCTTCCAAGCACATTAATCAAACTGCACAACTACTGTCAAAACTCTCCAAGGAAGAACATTATTTTTGATGTAAACAGATTTGGGGATGAATTTGTTTAATGTGTTACTATCACTACGCTGGGCCTACAAGTGTCCACAACAAACATCCAAGGAAAAAACAACTCTTTATTAATTTTGAATTCAGCTGCTCAAATTTCATTCTGCTTGATAAGTGTTAACTTAGTAAATCACATTTTCTTCAGAATCTTAGGTGTTCCTGTAACTGCTCATCAAGATTCAGTTATTTTCAGGTCAATAGGGGGACCTAATATAATGTTCTTTAAAATGAAATCCATAGACAGAGTCTTTTGAGAATTTTTTTTTCTTTATAAAAGGGTCTGTACGTTACTATAGTTTGAGAAACAGTGCAGTGTTCTTCATGAATGGTTTAGCTCATTGTTAAAGGGATGGTGAGAACATATATGAGGTGCCAAAGTATAAAATGTCAGGCAAGGAGTTTGAAGATTGTCAAATGTGGAAGGACTAGGCAGATGAAAACAAACAAATCAGGAGCAAAAGCGGGGAGGTTGGGAGATAGAGGTGAGGAGGCCCTTGTGCCACCATTCAATAATAGAGCTTGTTTTCATAGACTGCTGTAGGGCTGTGTATGTGCGATTTGGCACAACATAAAGAGCCAAGGACATGGTGGACAAATGGTGACCAGATTCAGCTCTAAATGGAGTCTAGTTTGGCATTCTAATGATAGTGATTGACCACTGCATGACACCAGTTTTCTGCCTAACTGTAACATTGTGGTTGTCATTGAGTCCTACGTACTCAAGAAGCAGAATTTGAAGATATGGGCAAAGTTTGAGGATGCAAACTAAGCAAAATAAGGGAAAGAAGAAGGCAGATCTACATAATTGAGGGATGACTGTTGAATACTCAAGAAGCAGAATTTGAAGATATGGGCAAAGTTTGAGGATTCAAACTAAGCAAAATAAGGGAAAGAAGAAGGCAGATCTACATAATTGAGGGATGACTGTTGATCTAAGGATAGAGGCTCTCTGCCCTCTGTGTTATCCCCATGCCCCCGCCCCGTATTTAAGCAAGCTTCATGATATCAGTGGATAAGTATCCATAGATATGGACTACTCACCAGGGTGAGATGGTCCTCATCAGTGCTGGTGCTTGCAATAATGGGGAGCATAATAGTATGCCCCCGCCCCGTATTTAAGCAAGCTTCATGATATCAGTGGATAAGTATCCATAGATATGGACTCACCAGGGTGAGATGGTCCTCATCAGTGCTGGTGCTTGCAATAATGGGGAGCATAATAGTTCAAAATATCAGTGATCCCCAAACTGTTCTTTTGTTGTGGTCCTTTCTCCAATTATTCCAAAGGATTTTGGGGGAAAAAATATTAAAATTATTTTAAAATTTAACCTTAATTAAAAAAAACTAATTAATGCTCATTGCTAAACTTTTTAGGAAGGAGCATTAAAAAATTTTCCCCTGAGGTCTTGAGCTCACACTTGGGGTATGGAAATAGTAATATTACTGGCAGGCTCATCTCTCTTGCTGGAATTATTTTGGGGCTGAGGGAAGGGAGACACATTGGCTATTTTTCCTCTGCCCTTCAATTTACCAAGATGTGAAGGTCAATGCTAGAGTTTTTTGCCTATGATTTATCTGCTAGCATTGACTGTTGCTGGCAAGAGTGGCAAGTGTTGGGGGTGTCCCAAATAGAAACAATAATAAGAGTGTCAGAAATCCAGACAAGTTGGATATTACTAGTGCTGGCACTTTTGGTTCTAGGGGTCAGAAAAAGAAAGCTGACTTAAAGTTTACTGTCTGAGGAAAATAAAAATTGAATGAATGAATGCTAGGAAAGATCTAATGTTTTAGTGCCCTAGAATTTGCAAGCATCATAGGAAAAAGTTTAGTATATTTTTTGATAGAAAGATGAGAGTTAACACTTTCTAGGGAAGATCAGAATGAGTTCTTCTATTTCTCCCCTCATACTTTGCAGACATCACATTTTATCGTTACTTCAATTCTAAGAGGTATAAGTATCATTATCCTCATTTGATAGATGAGAATACTGACATCTACAGAGCTTGAATAATTTGTCCAAAGGTACAGAGTGGCAGTGCTGGGGTTTGGACACCAAATAGCTGACCAAAGGTTGTACCCTTAATCTTATGTATAATAGTATTTCTTAAAGTGTGAGAATTATGGACTGGCAGCATCAGCCACCACCTAGGAATTTATTAGAAATGAAGATTCTCAGGTCTCACCCCAGGCCTACTGAATCAGAAACTTGGTGAGTGAGGGGCAGCAATCTGTGTTTTAAGAAGCTCACCAGGTGATTCTGGTGCATGCTCAAGTTTGACAACCATTGTTGTACTTGTCTCTGACAGAGACGTTCAAAGGAAAAGTGATTGTGTTAGCAATGTCACGATAGTGGTGGTGAATGTTGGAATGAAGGATCACAAAAGGCATAACAATGAAAAGGTACATATGTGGTGGATGAGAAGGGAAGAATGTCAGTAATACTAATAGGAAACAATTAGTTGTTTGGGCTTCATGTTCTCAAATGAAATGATGATTGGAATTAGAAGAGTGTCTGCCTTGGTGTGAATACAGGTCAGTTATATAAGGGCAATCAAATACTTCGGGATTAAAGCTGAATTATTTCACATTCATTGTAGAAGGTGGCATTTATTCTGATATCACAGGGAGATTCTCTTTTTTTCTACAAATTAAAAAAAAATAAAATCAAAATAGTCTACATACCGATCACGATTGTGGTTACATGGGTCCACACATTTGTCAAAACTCATCATACTATACAATTTAAATGAGTGCATATTATTGTATATAAATTCTATCTAAATAAAGTTGATTTTAAGTGCGAATGTGTTCCTGTGTCAAGTAATGAGTTCTTGTTAGCAGAGGTGTTTGAGCAATTCAGTAACCACTTGTCAGAATTGTTGGAGTGGGGCTTCATGCATCAGAGAGAATTGCACTCAATGACTTCAGCATTCCTTCTACCCAGAGAGCTCATGAGTCACAATTGCTATTGTGTCAGCACAGGTGTTGCCATTTTGTATATCATGGTCTATTAATATATTTGATCTGAAACATTTTAACTTGTCATGATTTTAAAATGTATTAAAGTATACAGGTGTAAAACACAGGACACTAAATGTATTCATTGCTCCTTACCGCATATCAGAAGTGGAAAGATTTCTTGGTAGATCAAAACACATGGTAGTGTAATTTCTAAAAAATAACAATTTCTGTTTATTGGATCAAGGGCATTTTACTCCTAAGGTAAATTTGCCTGTTTTAATTGGAATCTTCAAAGAAGATACGTTAGGAAGTTTTTTGTTGTTTGATTTTGGTTTTGTTTTTTTTTTCCATCAACCCAATGTGATGTATAAATGCTGATTTGGGTTTTTTTTTTCTCCTGGAAAGTAGATTCATTTGGAGAATAATATGTTTGTATGTTTGAATGAATTTTAGTGTGAGATGCTTTTTGCTGTAAAGGTGCCACCCTTTTATTACCTAATAATTAAGTCCCCCTCTTTTTTTCATGAAAGTGAATTTGTCCTTTTGACATGGTTTATCAGATGCTATTAACGAACCACTATTAAGACAGCAAGGCAGCGGTACCCAGGTCCCTGATTACAGGAATTAAAATAGTGTGTGTTGGCTCCTTGCTGCTCCCCAGCAGGAACGCTCACTCATAATTCCTTTGCATCTAGTCTCAGCAGGAGAAGATTGACAGCATTGCAGACCATGTCAACAGTGCTGCTGTGAATGTTGAAGAGGGAACCAAAAACTTGGGCAAGGTAAGATTCTGCTCCTGCTGGCAAATCAATGGTACTCCGGCTCCCAGGAATCGCTAGTATTAACCCAATTGATCTGTTCTCGTCAATGTTGAGGGAACCAGCAATTAAGGAAATAAGGAAGAAGTGACACATAGGTAGTGCAAGAAATCAATGGATGTAATATTCTACTCTAAGATTCTTCCAATCTGGAGAGAAATTTTTTCAAAGAGAGGTAAATTATAGTCCTAGTGGGCATTTGATGGTACAAGGTAATATTTGCAGAGGTTCAGGGAGAGGAATGAGAGAGGGGGCAAGAATTCAGTGGGGGCAAAAGTGTAAGGACATGACAGCACTTGTGGAGTGGGGTCATCTATTTTCTATAGGATGTTGCTTTTAACCTCAGGTACAAAGCATGGAATAATCCCTGTGCAACATAAAAGCTTTGAGAGGAATCTGTGGTTGCTGAATTTGTTTAAATAAACCAGCTAGATTGTTGGTGGATTGATTGTTTTGCAAGTAAAATCAATTTGTTGTAGTGGACTTACTCCACTTCACTCCATTGTAGCTACTCGTTGTAGCTCATTTCTCTGAGTTCTGAGATCTGGAGCAATTGCAGTACCTGTGGAATACTTTTTTCCCCCAGTACAATCGCTAAGGTTAATTATGTACCGAGAGTTAAAGAGGCATTGCCAGGAGTAATGAAAGGAAAATGCACATCACCACAGGCAGATATTCTCAACTCAATTTCTAAATTGAATTTTTTTTTTTTTTTTTACAGGCTGCAAAATACAAGCTGGCAGCTCTGCCTGTGGCAGGTGCACTCATCGGAGGAATGGTGGGGGGTCCGATTGGCCTCCTTGCAGGCTTCAAAGTGGCAGGAATTGCAGCTGCACTTGGTGGTGGGGTGTTAGGCTTCACAGGTGGAAAATTGATACAAAGAAAGAAACAGAAAATGATGGAGAAGCTCACTTCCAGCTGTCCAGATCTTCCCAGCCAAACTGACAAAAAATGCAGTTAAGAATCAAACTTTGGTATTATTGGTGCCAACATGTCTATCCTTATGAGGACCTTTGCTGCTGTTGGACACTCAATCAGCTTTTGGAACACAAAAATATTGAGATAGTGGCTGTAGATGCTCAAGTGGGATTGATAAGTGGATTTATTTTGTTGTTTGCTGGGGTGTTAATGGAGATTTTAGAGATTGAGGACCATGGGCTAAAGGCATATAATGTCTGTCAGGTAAAGTTTAAAGACTGCCAAAGAGCAAATTTTCTGCCTGGAAATTGAAAACTGAACCTGTAACTCTGATAAGGACCTAAGATATGCAGAAATGTTGGGTTATAGAAGAAAAGTTTCTTCCCTAACCCTGAATTGGAGACCTTAAGGCTAGGTGTATTTAAAGACTATTTAGGCCCATTAGCAAGGAAAAGAATGGGAAGTTCAGGAGCCTTTCTTATCAGATAGGGAAATCAGGACCTAGTGAGGTGCACAGGTAACTACATAATGGAGTCCACTTGGTGAAAAATATTACACTATTACAGGTCCAACTATATTTTCTGATTAAAGAAACAGTGTAAGAAAATGGAAAGAGAGGCTCAACTTCTCTTTCAAATATCTTCATTTGTGACACTGACACAGGTAACTACATAATGGAGTCCACTTGGTGAACACTATTACACTATTACAGGTCCAACTATATTTTCTGATTAAAGAAATAGTGTAAGAAAATGGAAAGAGAGGCTCAACTTCTCTTTCAAATATCTTCATTTGTGACACTGGCTTCTTTTTGAACTCTTCCTCTGCCTCTTTTTAAATAAAGAACACCAACTCTCACATGGTAGGACACTTATTAAGACAGTCACCAAGCTCACTCTGTCAGCCTGTGTCCTAGTACCTCAAAGATCTAGTACCCTTTGCGTTCCCTTACTTATAATTTTGTAAAGTACTTTGGTTTATGGGATGAATTCTACCTGCATATAATGAGGACTTTTCTCATAATCTTTTTTTTTTCTATTGTCTCCCATCTGTGTTCATCCTTCCTGTAATCAGGTTAAAAAGAAAGAAAGAAAAAGAAATTTCCAAATATTTCCAATACTGTTAGTGTTTGGGCTAAAGTAAGCAGGGGGAAAAACATGAGACCAGTTCCTGGGTATTTTCCAGTTTTGAGGGGCTGATTTATCTGCCACACAGGTTGTCTCTGACCCTTAGCTCACCCAAAGGTGAGAGACTTTTCAGCTGGTCTTTAGGAGAGCTGAAAAGTTTTCTTTTCAGCCAGTCCTTGGGAGAGCTAAGAACTGGCTTTCTACCTCACTTCTGTTACTACCATCCTTTTTTCTGGGCTTTTTTAAAAGTTTTTTTTTTTTTTTAACTTTTTATGCTTCCTTTTACTTTTCACAGATGCTCTTTCTTCCCAGGAATGGCATTCATGCTTACCTTTTCTCACATTGTCTAGAATGTGAGACAAAGCCCAGTGCCAAGACTCAGCCTCAGTGAAGATTCGTGGTGCTAATAATCCCAACACTTGACATTGACAGCAAGCATGGTCCATCCCAACCCCATGTGTGTCTCAAACAGCAAAAAGGTTTTAAATTTAGAGAAAAAGAATTTAAGGTAACAGGCAGCCTCACTCTGTAACCCAACTCATTTGAAAGAGGAAGGAACCACCTTTTGCCTTACTCTTCACTCTTTTCTGAGGACAGGAATGGGCCCTGTGCTCTGTAAGGTGTGAGCTTGGTCCAGGAGCCAAGATTCTTCAGGGGGTAGAATGGTTTATCACTTAACTTCTCTCTTGCTGAATTTACTTTTAATAACTTTTTATTGATTGCTACCTTTCACTTCTTTGTCTCACCTAAAGAGACCTTTCTCTTTCATACTTTTTGAATCTCACCAGTGAATTCCAATAAAACAAAGCACCATTTCTTATCATTAGATAACTAGAAGGTATCAAGTATTGCTGTTTGCTAATTTATGCCTTTAATATAGGAAATACTTTGAATAAGTGTCAGATTCTGATCCACTATCTGAAATTGGATACATGAAAGGTAGATATTACTTTTTCTATTTTCTGTTCCTTGTCCCTTTAAGTTTGCTAATTTATGCCTTTAATATAGGAAATACTTTGAATAAGTGTCAGATTCTGATCCACTATTTGAAATTGGATACATGAAAGGTAGATATTACTTTTTCTATTTTCTGTTCCTTGTCCCTTTAATACAGAGTGTTCAAACCTGAATAGGGATCAGAACTCACCCAGGTGCTTACTTAAAACAAGATTCCTAAACCTCAGTCCCAGGGGTGATTTTGATATAGCCAGTCCAGCCTAGTCAGCTGAAATTATAAATTTAAGATAGAGTTACATCAGGATTCAGCCATATCACTTAATTCTGTAATTTCTAGTATTCATCATTTCCAGTATTCTATCCTTCTTCATCAATGCAGATTAGCCCACTTTGCAAACCCAAAATTGACTGTGCTTTTTGCCCACCATCTTAGCAGCAGCACTAAGGCTGTTTTACATAAGCATGTGAAGGAGAAAGGAAGCTTGTATTTGAAGCTCACATTTTATTTTGGGATCTCTCATTTTACTGAGCCGGTGTGGGATGCTTCTGTATGTACTCATCTAAGCCTTTGACTTTTACTGCTCATCAGCATTGGAGTATTACTCTAGCAGTCTTCATGCTTAGACAAGTTACAGTCCTTTATTAAAATTTTATAATTTAAAATTATTTAGGAATTGTATCTCATTTTCCCATAATAGGACTTAATAGCTAACTTTGTGTAGAAATTGCCAGAAGTGTTTAATCAACTATAAATGATATACATATAAACTGTAAAGTATTTGTAAGCATAAACTAGTCAATATGGCAGAGAAACAAAAATTTAATGTCCTACAGTATCAGATTAAAATTATCTTCTCCATGATTCATGTCTTATCTTTATTGCAACAAATTAGAAGGTAAGGAATGCTTTGATTAAGGTCTTAAATTTGTAGGGGCTCATTTGAGTTAAGGCAACACTCTAAGGACTTTTTTCAAACAACCTGAAAATTTCTCTGAATGAAAAAAAGACCCTTACAGAGGAACTGATATTTATTGAATACCTCTGTTTGCCAGGTACTTCACTAGGCATTTTACATGTAAGGAAACTGAGCATCAGAGGAATTAAATAATTTGCAGAATTATTAACTACAAAGGGGTGAAGCCAGGATGTTAACTATGTCTGTTAAACTACAAAAACTGTTCTATTTTTCCCTTACTATGTTGTCTCTACAAAAAATTGAGGTTTCACCCAAATGCCCATATATTCCGTAAGGCAGGCTTTGAAATCACCTTTTGTTATTATTATTTTTTAATCTGATTCTTCAGTAAGTGTTCAGCAGCCTCAAAGTTTTTAGTAGTCTGCTATTAAAGTTTTAAATAGTACTGCTGGTGCAGCAGTATATGGTGCTAAATTTGATCCTTAGACTGTAAAATTAAATGTTTCCATCCCATCCAAACATCCTACAAATTTTCTTACATTTATTGGGTATAACCATTGTTTGAAGTGTTTTTATATAATTTAAGAATAAACTTTAGTGCTTTTTAAAAATTTATCATAACTCATAGAATCAAATGATCATTATCCTTTAAAATGAAACCCATGGGAAGCCATGGAATTACTATAGTGACACTAGTTAGACCATTTGTGAAGTTTTTCTTTTGGAATTGCCTCCAAAGACATTTTGCAAACCACATAAGAAAAACCATCTCCATTTTTGTTAGTCACAGACTGTACTCCCTTATAACTTCTTTCTTCCTCAGTTTTGCTTTTCCTCTGCTGGCTTAGCTCTTCCACTTACATATGCAGGAGCCAGTAACCTAAGGATGCTCAGAAAGAGATATGCTAGTACTGCCTAGAACTGGCAAGAGTTCCTAGACTTTGGTTATACTGAAACTGAGTGCTGTACAGGGAGAATCCCATGAGTCCAAAACCTCCGTCTGTGGACTGAACAAGGAATAAATACTGGTAATAGCAATCACAAGTGGTTGAGGAAACCTGTAATATAGATACAGTTAGCCATCATGTCTGTGGGCTCTGCCTGTGTGGATTCAACCAACTGTGGTTCAAAAATACTCAGAAAAAAAAATTGCATCTCTACTGAACATATAGCCTTTTTTGTCATTCCCTAAACAATACAGTATAACAACTATATAGTATTTACATTGTATTAGGTATAATAAATAATCTAAACATTAAATTATACAGGAGAATGTGCATTGGTTATATGCAAATACTACACCATTTTATATCAGGGACTTGAGCATCCACAGATTTTGGCATCTGTGCTTAAATGGCATCTGTGTCTATATACCCATAGCTTCAGTATGACTGGTGGCCTATAGTTTTAATGGTCAGGGAAGGGTTGTTGATTTCGTCTATTATATATAGAATCCATAGTGACGGGAGAGCAATTAGAATTAGGATAAGGGCGAGCAGGATTGTTCATAATGTCACCTGGACATCTATGGTACTTGTGTGGGTCAGCTTTGTGGTTAGCATTAGAGAAATAATACAGAGGACTAGGGAGCTGATTAAGAATACGATTCTCAGGGTGTGGTCATGAAAATGTAGAAGTTCTGTGATAGGTGAGGTGGCGTCTTGAAGACCTAGTTGAAATGGGTATGCCACAAAGATATAAAGGGCTTAAATCTATAAGTTAACTTTGACAAAGTTATGTAATGTTTTTACTAATATCTTGCTGTTGAGAGAGTTTTAGTGACTATAGGATTGGCTTGAAACCATCCTCAGGGGGTTCGATTCCTTTCTTGTTTTAGGCTTTTATTACATATGCGGGTTCTTTGAATATGTGATCTGGTGGTGGGCAGCCGTACAATCACTGTAGGTTTGTAGTGGGAAGTTTTACAGCTGAGAATTCTCGTTTTGAGGTGAAGTCTTCTCAGATTGTGAATATTGTTAGTATGGCTATTCCCATATATCCTAATGGCTCTTTTTTTGCTAGAATAGTAGGTCACAAAATGTGAAATTATCCTGAAGCTGGATAAGATTAAAATGTAGACCAAAGAATCAGAACAAGCAGGTGGGGGTCGGGAGTGGGGGGTAGGGTGGGGGGTGTGTCCTGGAACCAGCCCCCCACGGATACGGAGGGAGAACTGTATATAGCATACAGTATATTCTCCCGTCACAGTACAGAAACCAGACCATACCTTGTATTAACTTTAAAAATGAAAGGTGTTTCCCAGGGTCCCCTTTGCCCTTCTTTGCTGCCGTATGAAATCTTTGGGAGGAAGGATGAAGAAAAGCCTGGAAAAAAGGTTCTCCTGTGAAATGGGACGATTTCTTGTCATAAAGTAGAATGTGGCTGTGGCTCTCAGGTACTTACAAATGTTAGATAATGTTCTTAGGTAGTCAGAGGCCTAACAAAAAGTAAGGGAGCTTCCCCTCTAGCCTAAATTAATACAAAAAGTTCAGGTTCTGTTTGTGTTTTTATTAACCCTTTATTTTGTTTCTAACCGATGGTTCTCACTATTTA